TTTGAGATGAAGTCTCACTCTGTTGCCCAGGCTGGAGTGCAGTGGCACGATCTTGGCTCACTGCAACCTCCACCTCCCAGGTTTATGTGATTCTCCTGCCTCAGCTTCCTGAGTAGCTGGGACTACAGACATGCACCACCATGCCCAGCTAATTTTTTGTATTTTTAGTAGAGATGGGGCTTCACCATGTTGGCCACACTGGTCTCCCGACCTTGTGATCCGCCTTCCTTGGCCTCCCAAAGTGCCGGGATTACAGGCCTGAGCCACCAAGCCCAGCGGTTTTTTGTTTTTTTGAGACAGAGTCTTAATCTGTTGCTCACGCTGGAGGACAGTGGCTTCATCACGGCTCACTGCAGCCTCGACCTCCTGGGCTCCAGTGATACTCCCACCTTAGCCTCCCGAGTAGCTGGGACCACAGGCGTGCACCCGGCTAATTTTTGTACTTTTTGTAGAGATGGAAGTCTCACTATGTTGCCCAGGCTGGTCTCGAACTCCTGGCCTCAAGCGATCTGCCCGCTTTGGCTTTTCCAAGTGCTGGGATTACAGGCGTGAGCCACAGCCCAGGCTATGAGATCCTTGATAACCAGGAGACCCTATGCCACAGCTCCCGACCCACGCTGGCCCCGACACAGACCTTAAGTTTTCGCCCCAGCTGCACCTTCCCCTTCTCATCCCTTTCTGCCCAGCGCCAACAGCATCTCACCTTCCCAAGCTGCGGTCCCTCCCAAAGACCCGAGACATCTTTGCAAGCATGGCATGGCTGGAGGATGCGTTTCACCAAACGCGATGCAAGCGGAACCAGGTGCCCAGCGCGGAGGTGGGTGTGGGCGAATCCCCGACGCTCCACCAATGACAGCTGCGGCCTGGGAAGGGAAGGGGCTGGACGGGGGTGAGGGGGACGGGGCGGTTCCGCGTTTTCCGCCCGCCCGCCCGCTTTCCGCGCGGAGCCGCGGCCTGAGAACCGCAAGGCCGCCCGCGCGCGCCTGACCCGCCCCCACTGGCCCCAGGCCCCGCCCTCGCGCGCCCGCCCCAGCGCCGGCCCCTTTTGTTCCCTCCCGGAGCCCGGCCGCTGGCTCCGCTGGCTCCGCTGGCTCCGCGGGCGCTCGGCTCGGCTCGGCCGCGGGGCGCGCAGGCGGCTGCCCGGCGGCCTCGGTGCGCGCCTCCCGCCCTCCCGGAGACGGGGCGCGAGGCCCGGGCCCCGAGCGCCGACTGCGGGGATCCCCGGCGCCAGGAGGGGGTGCAGCCGTGGGCAGCGCCGCTCAGGGAGGGGCCGCAGCATCCTCGCCCCCTGCGCGCCCGGGCCCGAGAGGAGGAGGCCGGGGCTCTCCGGGCCTCCCGACGCTGAGCCTGACGCTGGAGGGGCGAAGGTAGGGGCCGCCGGAGGGGCCCGAGGCGGGGGTCGCGCGGGCAACAAAGGACGGAGAGGTGCGGGGGGCGGCGGGGCGGCCGGCCCGGAGGCATTGTCGGGGCGTGGGCAGGGGCGGGAGGGTTCGAGGCCGGCCGGTGGGCGTGGGCGGGAGCTGGCTGGGGTGCGCCCCAACTTCCCCGTCGCTTGCAGGAGAGGAGGGGGCGCTGCTGGGGTGCCAGGGTTGGGGGCGATTCCCGGGCTGCGAGTCCCCCTGGTGAAGGCATCACCAGCCTCATCGGGGTCCCCACCCACGGACGGGGCTTTGGTCCATCTGTTGGGGGACCGCCCGACCCCCCTCCCAAGGGCAGAGCAAGACGGCTGGACGCGTTGCCGGGAGGGCACAGCCTGGTGGGCGCGGCCATGCAGCCCCCATCTCCAAACCTGGGGTCTGGGAGATCAGGGACTCCTCGGCTCCTCCCTGCTACACCCTCTGGGGTCGCCTGGCAGATGCCGTTTGCAAAACTTGGTTGAAGTGCATGGCTGAGGAGGGGTAGGAGGAGATTGAGGCGGGCTGCTTCCCTCAGGGGTGCCCCCCCAAGCTGGCGCCGGTGCCTGGTGAGGCAGCAGATTTTCTGCCTTCCTCCCGGGGAGGGGCGGTGGCCTCGGAGGATGCTTGGCCAAGCCTCCAGGGCCCGCCCGTTTGGACCTTTCAGGCGGAGCTTGGGCCAAGCGGGTGCCCACTGGGCACTGCCACGCAGGCCCCAGCGCTACCCTGGGAAGGACGAGCAGAGAGAGCACCTTGAAATCACCCACCCAGCAGTGCGTTCCCCAAAGTCCGAGACCCCTCTTCTCCCTTCTGGGTGAGAAGTGGGGGTCTGGGATGAAGGGGGCTGCCCTCACTCTTGCACGATGGTGTATAGAGGTGGGTGGGGGTGGCCTAGGGCTGTGGGCAGAGGAGGAGGAGGAGGGGGCGGGGAGCACCACGTGTTTGCTCCAGAAGCCTCTTTCCCATCTGCTGTAAATGTAAACAATAAGCCCTTCATTCATTCAGCTGCTGTTACCTGGCCTAGCACTTCTAGGGGCTGGCTGGTACATAGGATGGGAGCCTCGGTGCCCACAGGAACTGCAGCCCGGGGGGGTTGATGAGTGCATTAGTGTGGGGAAGCAGGGGGCATAGAGGGGGACCCCTGGAGGGTGGGCCAGACTAGAAAGCTTAATGGAACATCATGCAGAAGTTTGCTGCCAGGATGCTTGAAGGGGGTTTCGTGCAGGAGAAATAGCGTGGATAAGGGTTTGGAGTCAGAAAAGGAGGCTATTGGGTTAGAGAAACGGCGTAGGAGTTAGCGGACATGGACCTGCGGTTGAGCACAGGCTGCATAGCCCGGGGGAGATGTGGGGGTTCCGGCTTCAGGACAGGTAGAGGGGTGGAGATGGAGAGAGGCTGCAAAGGCAGAAGCGCAGGTGGAGGCACCTGAGAGGACCCTTCTCTGCACACACCTGTGTGTACCTGCAAGCTTCAGCCCGAGGCTGGGAAAGTGGCACCTGTAATTCTGCACTTGAAGCCCAAAATCCCAGCAGCGGGAGTGACTCCGAGGAGCACAGATCGCTTTCCAGCATCTGCTGTCTACCTTGGTGGTGAAGAGTTCAGATGCTGGAGCTTAACGGCCCGGGTTCAAATCCCAGCTCTCCCCTCCCTAGCTATGTCATCCTGCACACTGCCGCTCTCTCTGCCTCAACTTCCTCGTCTGTAAACGTGGATCCTTATGGGATCTGCCTTTTAGGGTTGTTGGAAGAACTGTGTGCCCTGTGGCCCAGGAGACGTCCTGTATGTGTCGTTGCTGTCACAGGGTGGCTCCCCAGCCTCCACTCACGCACGTTGCAGGGAGAGGAGGCTCATGTCTGCTCCAGGCTGCTTGTCCTTCTTCCAGCAGGCTTGCTGGTTAGCCCTGACCCCGGGACCTGCTGTTCTCTGCCTCACTGCAGCCTCCTCCCTGGTCCCGCCTCCCTTGGTGTTAGAAAGTAGAAAGGCACCTCCCCACAGCCCCAGCTGTCCCTGCTCCCCACCTAGCAGGCTACCCACGTGTGGTCCCCCAGTTCCCTCTTGGCCTTCCCTCAGGCCCTGCCACGCTGACAGTTGGTCCTGCGCGCTCTCTCTTTCTCTCTTTCTCTCTTTTTTTGAAATGGAGTTTCTCTCTTGTTGTCCAGGCTGGAGTGCAATAGCATGATCTCAGCTCACTGCAACCCCTGCCTCCTGAGTTCAAGCAATTCTCCTGCCTCAGCCTTCCAAGTAGCTGGGATTACAGGCATGTACCACCATACCTGGCTAATTTTTTGGTGTTTTTAGTAGAAACGGGGTTTCACCATGTTGGCCGGGCTGGTCTTGAACTCCTGACCTCAGGTGATCCTCCTGCCCCAGCCTCCCAAAGTGCTGAGATTATAGGCGTGAGCCACTGCGCCCAGCCAGTCCTGGCCTCTTGACACTACCTGCTCCACCTCCATTTTCATACCCAGGGGAGGGAAGCTACATTTGTGACCCTTTGGTTCCCTGCCCACTGGCTCTTGGGAGAATCTCAGCTTTTGTGCAGATTTAAAAAGAAAGTATTAAGTGCTTACTTTGTGGAGAATGGTTCTAGGCCACTCCCTCCCCCTTTTTTTTTTCTTTTTAAAACGGAATCTTGCTGTCGCCCGGGCTGGAGTGCCGTGGTGCAATCTTGGCTCACTGCAACCTCCACCTCCTGGAATCAAGTGATTTTTCTACCTCAGCCTCCCGAGTAGCTGGGACCACAGGGCACACCATCACAACTGACTAATTTTTTGTAGTTTTATTAGAGATGGGGGCTTCATCATGTTGGCCAAGCTGGTCTGGAACTCCTAACCTCAAGTGATCTGCCCACCTTGGCCTCCCAAAGTGCTGAGATTGTAGGCGTGAGTCACCGCACCCAGCTAGGCTCTTTAATTTCATTCCTTCCTTTGTGGATATTTTAATAAGGCTGCCTACATTTTACAGATAAGAATATCCTGGCACAAAGAGGTGGCTGTGTTTGCCCTTGATGCTTTTTTTTTTTTTTTTTTTGAGAGGGGGTCTTGCACTGTCGCCCGGGCTCGAGTGCAGTGGGACTCACTGCAACCTCTCCCTCCCAGGTTCACACGATTCTCCTGCCTCAGCCTCCTGAGAAGCTGAGGTTACAGGTGCATACCACCATGCCCAGCTAATTTTTTTGTATTTTTAGTAGAAACGGGGTTTCACTATGTTGGCCAGACTGGTCTCCAACTCCTGACCTTGTGATTCTCTGCCTCAGCCTCCTAAAGTGCTGGGATAAAAGGCGTGAGCCACCGCTCTCAGCCGCTTGATGCATTTGCTAAGCACCTACGGTATGCCTGGAAGGCATGCCCTCTTCGACCACACCATTCTACCCCACCCTCTTCAGGTTCGTTTCCCTAGCAGTCCCAACCCTGCCTTCTCAGACACCCACCCCTTTTGCTCAGGCGCAAAGTCCAAACACGCTCTCTGGCTTTTAGGGTCCGCCCCCAATAGGCTGTGTCTTTCCACTGCGGCTCTCCACACGCTCCCAGGCTGGGCACACCCAGACTTGCCTCACCTAAGGCTGCTCTGGCCCCTTCAATAAACTGTGAGGAGTGGGCATGGTCTAAGGAGCGGGGCTGGCTTGGAGGGTGCTGTGGGGTGCTCTGCGATCCCATACCTTTGGGATTATTTTGTTGCTAGGAACAGAAACCTCCTTCAATTAGGTTAAGCGAAGAGGGACTTGAGCGTGCAGGACAGAGAATGTGTGCAGCAGACAGTTGCAGGCGACATGGCCCCCGGGGACCCCGGAAGCTGGCAGGCAGCTCCTCCTCCGGCTTTCCTCTCTGTGGACCGCAGTTTCATTTTCTCGCCTCTCCCAGGGCATCCGTCCCTCCTTTCCCCTACAGTCTCGTTCTCCTTGGGTTGTGAGCGTGGCTGCATTGAATGGAGCTGCAGCCTGAGTCCATGGGACCCCCAGTGGGACGAGACCCCCAGTGACAGTCTCTTTCATCTTGGGGTGCAGAGAGATACCGATTGGTCCAGCCTGAATGAGGAAGCCCACCCACCTCTGCTCAGCTGGTGGGGGGGGGCAGGCCACGTGGTCTCCGGGGCTGAGGGTGGGAAACAGGGCTGGCACAGCCGGGATAATTGGTTGGCTGCATTGATGATGAAGGTTTTGTGCTAGGTGAGGACTGGTGAATCTTGGCATTCATGGAGCCCATGATCTGGCAGGGGAGGCAGACCCATGGTCAGTTAGCCATTGTGCCACAGGACGTGGGACCGATCACTTGTGGTGTGATTTGTTCCGAGAAAGCAGAGCACACACTTCAGGCCAGTGGGGGAAGAAGAGGACAGGTGGGATGGCCAGGGCTGCCCGTTGTTAGCGTCCCCCAGCCCTGACCTGGGACAAGAGGAGGCTCTTTCCTCTCAGGACCTGGAGATTTAGGTTCTATCGGCAGTGTGGGACTTATGCTCTTTTTTTGGAGACAGAGTTTCGCTCTTGCTGCCCAGGCTGGAGTGCAATGGTGCGATCTTGGCTCATCGCAACCTCTGCCTCCTGGGTTCAATCGATTCTCCTGCCTCAGCCTTTCCACTAGCTGGGGTGACAGGTTTGTGCCACCACGCCTGGCTAATTTTGTGTTCTTACATAGAGACAGGGGTTCTCCATGTTGGTCAGGCTGGTCTCGAACTTCGGACCTCAGATGATCCGCCCCCCTCGGCCTCCCAAAGTGCTGGGATTGCAGGCCGCACCCGAGCTTTTGAACCTCCTACACTTGCTCTTCTCTCTGAGCCTCAAGGGTAGGGCCATCACGGCAGAAGCAGTAATGCAAAACTCATGTTTGCAGAGGAAATGCTTCGAAATGTTAATGAAACGTTTCCCTTCCGAGTAGAAGGCAGAATGGACCAGATGGCTTTTATTAACGAGGCATGAATTTAGGGCCCTCTCCACTTACGGCTTCTGTCTTCACGGAGCGTTTCTCGCTCCATGGCTGGGA